TTGTTGTTTGGCGGGTCCGGGCTGGGGATTCGAACCCGCCACCTTAGGTGTACGTGGCTGGCGCCTTAGCCGGTTGAGCTATAGGCGCCGAGCCGCGAGGGAGAATTTTGCTGCTCGCTCCCACTTTCTAGCAGGTTAAGTGAATTAGCCTGAGTTTTCTCTCATGTAAACTGGGAATAAATGAGTGAAGCTTTATAAGGTCGTCAGAGCAGTGCCCCAAGGAAGCCCTCCTGATGGTAACCTACTCCCCTCAGATAGTACGCCCCAGGAGTGAGATGGAGTCAGGGCCGGGGTGCGGGGGCAGCAGGAGTACACACAGCTGCGGGAATAAGGGCGGCTCGGGAGAAGAAAGAGCAGGATGTGTCAGTGAAAAAATGGAGGGTATTCCAGGCTTTAGAGGTCTGTTTTGGGAAGACAGAACCAGCCCAGGATGGCTTCAGAATGCAGAGTGTGCCTGGCTGAGAGTGTAGACAGAGCTTGCAGGCAGCATGGAGAAGTTATGAGAGCTCTGGGTGCCCCTCCTAAGCAAAGAGAGAGCTGGTAAAAATTTGAGAGTTGGTCTACTGAGCTTTTTACACACCTGGGTGGGGCACAGCCCTTCATTTGCCAGAACCGAACTTTGTGCTCCCTCAGGTATGCTGGTTGCAGGACAGAGAGTTCAGCCTTCTCAGGGCTCAGTACACTCTAATCTAGAGCAGGGCTTCTCAAAGCATGGTCCCCAGCAGCCCCAGCAACACCTGGGCACTTGTTACAAATAGAGATTCTCACCAGGTGCAGTGGCTCTTGCCTGTAATCCTAGCACTCTGGGAGGCTGAGGCAGGTGGATTGCGTGAGCTCAGAAGTTAGAGACCAGCCCAAGCAAGAGCGAGTCCCTATCTCTACTAAAAATAGAAAAATTATCCAGACGTCATGGCAGGTGCCTGTAGTCCCAGCTACTTGGAAGGCTGAGGCAAGAGGATTGCTTGAGCCCAGAAGTTTGAGATTGCTGTGAGCTGTGATGCTGCAGCACCCTAGGGTGACATAATGAGATGGTCTCAAAAAAAGAACAAGAAAGAAAGGAACAGAGATTCTCTGACTCCACTGCAGGCCTCCTGAATCAGAACCTCTGGGTTTAATAAGCTCCCCAGTAATTCTCACTCACCCTGAAGTTGAGCCACCAGTCTTAAGCATTGGTCCTCAAATGAGGGAAGTTTTCCCCCTAGGGGACACTTGGAGAAATTTTTGGTTGTCAGAATGGGGAGAGGGGAGGGTACTACTGGCATCCAGTGGATAGTGGATAAACACTCTACCAAGCACAGGACACAACAGAAAATGACCTGGCCCAGAATGTCAGATGAGCAAGGATGATAGAGGGCAAGGATTGCAGCGATTCCTTTTCCCCTTCACTTCAGGGGTTCCATCCCTGGCCGCATGACCCAGGGTGAGACCCCTCAGTTTCCCCAACTATGCAGCAAGGGGTTTGAAGACTTGAGACTGCGAGTTCCTTTCCAGCTTCCAAGGCTTTGTCCTGTTGACTGGGCACTTGGTGGAGAGAGGGCTGGTGCAGGCTTTCTCTTTCAGGGGGCCATGAAAGAGGGAGGGGAGGGCTCTCCCCCTTGCACTGTGGCGCCCTCCCCACCCTGGGCCCACTGTTGCCATGGGTTGCCCTGTGAATAGTCCTTCTCTTCAGTGGGTGGGTGATGTCTGCTTTCAGGGATCCAACCCCAAGGAGCCCACACTGGGGAGTGAGCTCTTCACTGGCTCCACACCCTGGTCTGCTTGTGGAAGAGCTGGGCAGGCAGAATGTCACCCTCTTTACTGAGCCTCTAAATAAAGCAGTGGTCCTGACCAGCGACCTGGGGGTGAAGACTGTGGTTCTTCATGTCTCCCAGCTGAGGAGCTTGTGGGCAGAATAGAGAGTGGCACCTGGACTCTGATTAGCCAGACTCCAAGTCCTCTGCCCCTGTCCAGGTCTGGCTGATCCATCAGGACAGGGAAGGACTTCTTTATTATTATTCCTTTTTTTTTTTTGAGACAGAGTTTCACTTTGTTGCCCTGGGTAGAGTCCCATGTGGCATCATAGCTCACAGCAACCTCAAACTCTTGGGCTCAAGCAATTCACTTACCTCAGCCTCCCTAGTAGCTGGGACTACAGGCACCACCCACCACAATGCCTGGCTATTTTTTAGAGACGGAGTCTTGCTCTTGCTCAGGCTGGTCTTGAACTCATGAGCTCAAGCAATCTACCTGCCTTGGCCTCCCACAGTGCTAGGATTACAGGTGTGAACCACTGCACCTGGTCCATTTTTTTGTTTGTTTGTTTGGATTTGGGGTTTTTTTTTGAGACAGAGTCTCACTATGTCACCCTTGGTTCAGTGCTTGGTGTCACAGCTCACAGCAACCTCTAACTCTTGGGCTTAAGTGATTCTCTTGCCTCAGCCTCCCAAGTAGCTGGGACTATAGGTGCCCACCACAACGTCCAACTATTTTTTGTGGGAGTTGTCATTGTTGTTTAGTAAGCCCAGGCTGGGTTCAAACCCACCAGCCCCGGTGTTTGTGGCTGCGCAGTAACCACTGAGCTAGGAGCGCTGAGCCTTGTTTCTTTCCTTTTCTTTTCTTTTTTTTTTTTTTTAAATACAAGCTCTGGCAAATTTGATTTAAAAAATTGGCATGATTTTACTTTTCACCAGTCTGTTCTGTAGTATTGTCCGCATGCTGTGCCCAATTCAATATTACTGCCACTGCAGTGATGAACACCCATTTGGCTAAATGGCATAATACTCTATTTCAGATTTCCTCAAAGCTGGGCAGTTATTGGCGAGGATGATCAATTTCACCCTTACCATCTGATCATCTTGGGAGTCTGCTTGCACACAGCACATACTCTCCACTTTTCATAATGTGTTGGAGCCTCGAGTTGATGGACTCCACTGACTTTTTTGTCTTCTTTGTGGCCACCGTCTTCCTGCCTTAGGTGCAGAATGCCCCCCAGCCAAGGCCAGCTGCCAGGATGGCTGGTGATCGAGAAAACCATGATTCCATTTCTTGAGAACACACAGGCAGTCCTGGGAGACACATTGGGGCAGACATCTGTAGCTCCCACACTGTGCACTATGATTTCAGGCAAGGCCCTTGCCTACTCTTATTCTTCACTTAAATAGGTGAAAGGAAAGTCAGGTTCAATGAATGTGCTGGATTTGGGATGTACCATGGTTTATTACATCCCTTGAAAACCCACCTGAAGACTGTCCACACCTGCTCTTAACACCGGCCTATATGTCTTGCCTTTCTCTTTGTGAATTTAATACCTGCTACTAAATAAGGGTGACAAATTAACACACTGCGTAAAGCCTGTTTGTAATCTGAGTCAGATGCTCTGAGGGAGGGTGTCCAAATTTTTTTTCTTCTCTGCCACACATGGGAAGGAGAGGAGCTGTCTTAGGCCACACCGTAAACTCACAAACACTAAGGAAAGCTGATGAGCAAAAAAGGGTCTGCGCATACTTCCAAGATACCCCACACCACAGATGAGCAAGAGTCCTCACAAAATCAGCATGTGGCTGTGGGCCCAGGTTGGACATCTCTGCCTAAGGCACCCTCCTTGAATCAAGTACTAATATTCTTGTTATCTTGATGAGAATGCAACAGACACTATGCGTAAATCTCTCTGTAAATTTTTCTTTGATTCTGTTACTTTGCCCTCTTTGTGGGGGTGATCTGGGTGGTACTGGTGGGGCCATCGTAATGCCTCTTGTCCTGGATTCCCTTTGCTTAGATGGGACTCCAGCACCAATCATTTCAGCACTGTATCTCTGGGGTCAATATGGTTCAGTTTGCTGTGCAAAGTCCGAGGAGATAACCGCACTGTGCACACATCGGACTCGCTGAGTCGGCAGGACTGCAGTTGTAAAAGAGCTGCGGGGAGTGGAGACCAGTGCCTGCAGCCCCCTGCCTCTCCCACAGGCACCTGGAGTGTGGTGTGCAGAGCTGCCGAGCTCTGCTTCCCAAGGAGGCGACCAAAGGGTGAGAACATGGAGCCCTAGGGGATTACCGAAAGCACTGGGATCATTGCCCAGAAAGGGAAAGTTGGGCATTTATGTCCCAGAGGGAAGTGAAAACGGTGCTTCTCTTCTTAGATCAGAAAGAAGGGTAGTCTGTAGAGTTCACGTGGGCAGTGGAACACTCTCTAACGATCATTACATGTGCAGCTCTCTTGACAACATCATGCAGAGTTTGTCTTCCTTGCTTCTAGCACATACGCACTTGGCACAGATATTGGTGGAGTGCCTCACTGTGCGTGGGCTCTGGGCAGTGACTGGGATGGACACAGTCCCTGTCTTCCCGAGCTCCGGTTCATTGTGGTGGGATCTGCTTGCCAGGTGAGCTGTGTCCATAGGCTCCTGCTGCTGGGGGCAGCTCTGCCCTCTGCCTTTGCCTCCACTCACATGCTCCCCATGTGTCCCTCTTTCCTTCTTCTCAAGGGGCAGAATTTCCTGCCAGGGACATAAGGTCTTTCTGGAAATGGGAGACACCTGTGTAAGTTTTCCTCTCTGGATTCCTTAAATTAAGAAGGGACTCATCCCTAGCTATTTCTTGCTTTGTATTAACTGTGGGAGTGCTGGTCCCAGCCACCCATCTAATTGGCTGACATGTGCAGGGGACTTGAGGCCAGGCACTCATGGTGCTTGGAATTGAAAGATGAAAGCCAGGACCCATCTGAGCGGGAGTAAAATACATACTAGCACATCCCCTGCTTGTCTCCAGCCGGCTCCGTGGAGACCTGCCCCCTGGCATGTTGTAGACCTTTGTGAACACTGAGACCTTGAGCCACTGCAGAATTTCACAGCTCAATGAACAAGACATGTTGGAAGTTCAAGGGTGGGCATGCAGGGTGTGGGGTCCTAGGACAAAGCTGGTGACTTTGAGAGATGGGGGTGGAGCTTGCCTCTCTTAAAAGCTGTCGGGATGATCTCCATATGGGGTGATGAGGGCTGTGATCCAGAGGGCAGGAATAGGGATTCAGGGAGCTGCATCTGAGCAGTATCAGGACTTGGAGATGGACAGGCATGGAGGAAGAATTAGAGCTGGCTCTGGGGGGTGAGTATGGAAGCTGGGAGTTCAGCGGAATCACTTACAAGCAGGATCACTGACTGATGGGATTACAGAGCCAGTTTTTCTCACGAGATTTCTACTGGGCTATAGGAAAGGAGTGGGAACCATTATGCTCCTCTCCCCCACCTCATCTCTGTTGGAAGCTGCATTGCTGGACCACTGTGGATGGATATTTCAGGGAACAGCACCAGTGGCCCAATTCTTACCTTAGAGAGGAGCAGCTCTTGACAGGAGCAAATCCCAGGGCCTCTACAATCCCCCAGCAGAGTTCCCAATATCTAATGTGTAGCAAATAGAGGGCCCTCCTCCTGCTTTGGGTTTCCAAGATGAAGTCAGGGTGGTGCTGGGGAGTGGTCTGCTGGGGCCTCATCTGACATACGTTGCTTCCTCCTCCTCCTCTGGGCCCTAACTGCGCACATCGGGCAGAGCCCTCTCTGAGTCTGGTGTGAGGACAGAGTGTGTACTCAAGCAGTTTCCTCCGAACATGGGCATTCTATGGGGTACTGCCCTGGGAACATGGAAGATGAGGTGCTACAGAACAATGCCAGGCTGGTATCTTCCTGATATTGGTTTGCTGAGACTAACCTCTTCTTTCTGAGTCTACTGGAAAAAAAAAAGACATGAGAGTCAGACCAATGGAAACAGATGAGTTTATATGAAATATAATTGGCCATCTACAGACAGAAAGTAGATTCGTGATTGCTTAGGGTGGGTGAGGCAACAGAGGAGGAACAGCTAAAGGTAGGGTTTCTCTTTGTGCCGAGGAAAAATGTTCTAACATTTGATGTGGTTGTGATTACACAACTCTGGGAATATCCTATAACCATTGGATTGTACACTTTATTTTTATTTTTTATTTTTTTGGATTGTACACTTTAAACGAGTGAATTATATGGTATGTGAATTATATTTCAATAAAGCTCTTACACACATATCTAAGATGTTGGCCATGGTTGGGCTCCTTTACACTGAACTTGACCTACCAGAACTGCAAGCCTTCCCCTTAATCCTTCTTATGCTGAAGACAAGCTCCTCTCTCAAGAAAGAGAGCAAGGAGCTGAGGCCCACCATTCAGAAAAGCTGCCTCTCCTCTGAGAAGAGGGAGTCAGGAGGCGTGGAGAGAAGCCTCTCGGAAGCCCCGTGTGAAAGGCGCCTCGTACAGACACTAGGGCCATGCAGAAGCTAACCCAAGTTCCTATTGTCAGGATGTGGGAGATTTTGTCTCTTTTTCTATTGTTTTCATATATATATATATATATATATATGTGTGTGTCAAATGTAAACAAAATCAGGGATTGGGTGGGAGAGATTGGGAATTGGAGACTCTGGTGTCCAGGCCTGGCTGGGTGGTCTCTGTTGCTGATGGCTCGGCCCTTACCTTGCAGGAGCCATGTGGCTGGAAATTTTCCTCGCCTCAGTGCTGGGCTTTGTCATCTACTGGTTCATCTCCCAGGACAAGGAAGAAACTTTGCCACTTGAAGATGGGTGGTGGGGGCCGGGAACGAGACCCACAGCCAGGGAAGATGAGAGCATCCGCCCTTTCAAGGTAGAAACGTCGGACGAGGAGATCAATGTAAGGCACCGTGTTCCGGGGAGATCTGGGCTGGGGGGAGGGGGGACGCCCTTCTGTGGTTTCTTTGAGACTGGGGTTGGATCTTAGGCTGGGATCAGGTAGGGGACAGGGGCTCAGGAAGTGGTCCCTCCTGGGAGTTGTCCAGTCTGTTGTGCCCCCTCTGGACAGGTGCAGGCTACTCTGAGAGCTGTGCCCTGCTCACTCACTCTGTCTTCCTTTCCCTTTCCCCTATCCAAGGCCCAGCGGTGTCCAGGCAGGGGTGGGGTGGGGGTGCCAGCAGGACCAGCTTAATGCATCAGGGGTCACAGAAAGCAGCCTGGCCTTTTACTCTACATACGCCCATTATACTTGCACCCTCTCTTTCCTGGTCTGTGATTTTTATCCCATCTGAGTTATAATGTGTCAGTCAATAATGTCCATCAGGGGTCTCCGGACCATGGCCTGCAGACCAAAGGTAGCCCTGCTACCTGTTTCTGCATAGCCCACAAGCCAAAAATAGTTTCTATATTTTTAAAATGGTTAGGGTAAAATCAAACAAATAATATTTCATAAGATGTGAAAATTGTATGGCATTTTAAACTTCAGTGTCCATAAATAAAGTTTTTTGAACAGAGCCGTGCCCATGCATCAGCATAATGCCTGGGGCTGTTTTTGCACTGTGAGGGCAGAGTGGAGTAGTTGTAGCTCACAAAGTCCAGAATATTTATAATCTGGCCCTGTATAGAAGAAGTTTGCTGACCTCTGCTTAATTTACCTCTCAATTTACCTTGGTAAATTAAAGATGAATATTATTTATACATTTAAAAAATGAGAGATGACCTGGGCAAAGTGGCTCACATCTGTAATCCTACCATTTTGGGAGGCCAAGGCAGGAGGATTGCTCAAAGACAGGAGTTTGAAACTAGCCTGAACAAGAGTGAGACCCTGTCTGTATAAAAAATAGAAAAATTAGCTGTGTGTGGTGGTGCACAACATGGTTCTAACTATTCAGGAGGCTGAGGCAGGAGGTTCACTTGAGCCCAGGAATCTGAGGTTGTAGTGAGCTAGGCTAAGGCCACAGCACTCTAGCTTGAGTGACATAGCAAGACTCTGTCAAAAAAAAAAAAAAAATATATATATATATGAT